GATTTCATTATTTTCACTAACTGGAATAAATAGATTTAAATTCCTATTCGGTGTACCAACACATTTCTTTTTGTAATTTTGGTGAATTAAGTTTCTTCGATCTTGAAATGTATTTTACAAGCGTAATGTTAACTTGTATTGGACTGAGCACAGGCACACGAGCTGAATGCCGTGGGGCCGCAGTTCGGCATGGCTGGCTGCGATCTCTTTTCATTCCTGACGGGTGACGCTGATGACGCGGAACACCAGAAACAACTGTTGAGAGAGGAAAAGGAAAAAGCGATGTTTTCTGGCAGAAAGAGTAGGAGGGAACGCCGTGCCCATCGGTAAGTTATTCAACTTATTTAATTACTTTTTTCTAACTTTGCTACAATATCCACCTTTTTTGAAGTACCGTCATCAAGTACATATACACAGGGCTGGGCAAAATACATGCTACATCTTAATTGAAATACAAATTACAAAATACTTCCTTAAATGTATTTAAAATACAAAATACCAAATACTTTCTTGAGGTGTATTTGAAATACAAAATACAAAATACTTTCATGGGGTGTATTTAAAATACAAAATACAAATACAAATTACAAAATACTTTATTAGTATACTTATCGCGACATGTGGAAACCAACAATTTCCTTCAAAGGATTTCCTTCCACAATACATATCTTGAAAAAGAAGTTTTAAATATTCAGTTTTACCAGAAAAAAACTGTTAAACCAATACCACCATACTTCAGAGCACGAAGTACGTATAATTATTATTAATATTCCTATACATGTCGAATACTGTATATACGTGTAAATGCCATTCATAACATGTTCACAACACAAATTAGTCGCTCACGCGATACGTTATCCCTATCTACTGGGCCTATAAAGGATGCAAATGTGCAATTTAAACCAACCGCAAAATGGCGGCTATAACCCTAGAACCCTGCTACTCTAAGTTATAACCGCGAAAAGATGACTTTGACGTCTTTGACAATACCATGCACTGTTGCCACCTGCAAATGTGCTTCTACTGCATTGAATACGAGTATTTAAGATGTCGTGAGTGTTGTGTGTCGGTGTAGTGGAACCCTAGTGCACAAATAAGTAATGAAGATAAAGTGCGGGTAGTTAGAAAAACTCGCACAACTGGAAGATGCTGACACCCGCCTCTTCAGTCCTTGCGAGACCATGGACGTTGCAATATGTCCGAAAAGTCGAGATAAATAAAATATGTTTATACGTGATTAAGTCCCGAATTAAAAATCAAATAATTTCATACTTCATTTTTTGAACGTTCCGCTTTACACAAACGGACGCACGCACGCAGGCACGCACGCACGCAGGCAAGCACGCACGCACGCACGCACGCACGCACGCACGCACACACACGCACTCACACACACACATATACACATACATACATATAATAGATGCTCTTTGCAAAAAAGTGATTGATCACTTGCATTTACTTCGTCATTTACAACGACTTCAATCTAATTACATATATTTTTTGTATGTAGTTCTTCACATATAATACCACCACGAAGGTTGGGGGCTCAGATAGGGGCTCGATTAGGGGGTCCGGTTGGAGGTCGGTTAGGTGTCGGTAGGGGGTCGGTTAAGGTGTCGGTTTGGGGGTCGGTTAGGTGTCGGTAGGAGGTCGGTTAGGGTCCGGTTGGGGGTCGGTTGGGGACCGGTTAAGTGGTCGGTTGGGGTTCGGTTAGGGGGTCGATTAGGGAACGGATAGGGGTCGGTTAGGGGGCTGGTTGGGGATAGGTAGGGGGTCGGTTAAGGGGTCAGTTAGCGGGTCCACCCCTAAAGGGCCCCTAATCCGCCTCTGACCCACTCCCTAACCAAACCCTTAACCGACCCACTAACCGATCCCCTAACCAGCCCACTAACTGACCCCAACCGGCACCCTAAACGGCCCCCTAACCTACCCCTAACCGACCCCCTAACCGCACCCTAACCTACCCCCTATCTGACCTCCCAACCGACACCCTAAACGACCCCCCAACCGGCCCCCTAACCTACCCCCTAAACGACCCCCGAACCACCCCCAGTCGACCCCTAACCGACTCCCTAACCGACCCCTTAACTAACCTCCTAACCGACCCCCAACTGACCCCTAACCGACCCTCAACCGGCCCCCTAACCGACCCCCTAACACACCCCAAACCCATCCCCTAACCCATATTCGTGATGACACTTTTACTTGATAGTTTCGGTTTTAATTGTTAGTTTCAATTGTTTCTTAGAACAACTAATAAAATTAATCTAATTGCAATTAAAATCAATTCAATCGAAATCAGTTGCAATTGAATAGATTTTTTAATCTGATTGAAATTTAATTGATTAACGAACTTGCTTCGGCAGTACATATACTAAAATTGGAACGATACAGAGAAGATTAGCATGGCCCCTGCGCAAGGATGACACGCAAAATCGTGAAGCGTTCCACATTTTTTTTGAGCCCGGGTCGAACCGCGCGAAATAAACGTAATTATACGTAATCTAAAAAATAAATACAGCTATGGAATAGACGAGATACCATCCGCGCTTATAAGGGTATGTGCAGACGAATTGACGTTTCCGTTTTATACGCTTGTCAATCAGTCTTTTGCCGAGGGTGTGTTCCCGGATCTTCTTAAACAATCCCTGATAAAACCGATCCTCAAAAAAGGAAGTAAGTATGATCTGAGTAATTACAGACCGATTGCATTATTGCCCGCGGCTTCGAAAGTATTTGAGAAGGCAATGTGTAGCCGCCTATACTCTTTCTGTGAAAAGTACAATATATTTGATGAGTCGCAGAATGGTTTTCGGAAAAATCGTTCAACTACACTTGCGACTTACAAATTTATGCAAAAGATTCTGGATACACTAAATGAAAAAAAGTATGGTATCGGTATCCTATTGGACATGTCAAAGGCATACGATAAAGTTCGGTATGATATCTTACTGGATAAACTTTACGGAATGGGTATACGAGGTAACATTCATAAATGGTTCGCATCCTATTTAGAAAACAGAATCCAGTATGTAGAAATCGAGCATTATAACTATGAGACAGGGGAAATAACTCAAGTCAGATCTGAGCCCCAAAACATGAACAATTCGATACCACAAGGAAGCGTCATTGGGTGCATACTATTCCTGGCTTATATAAATGACCTCCCAAACGTACCTAATAAACGATTCATGTGCTCTTTTCGCTGACGACATCTCAATATTAACCTCTTGTAAAAATAGTGACCACTTAAATCAAACCCTTCATAATACACTAACTACAATTGTAACATGGATGAATGATCACAATTTAGAAATTAACTTCACAAAAACCAAAATTATAGAATTTAGACCCTATCAAAAACCATCACTAAATATTAATTTTTCGTATAACCAAATACAAATAGAAACCGTCAATACATTTAATTTACTCGGAATAGATATCGATACAAATATAAATTGGAAGCAGCATGTACAAAAAATCACAAAAAAGCTATCTAGTTTTACTTACGCCTTAAAAGAAATAAAGAAGTCAACAAATTTACAAACTGCCCTAAGTGCTTACTATGCGTACGCTTATGCATGGTTATCATACGGCATCATATTGTGGGGCAATAGTACAACTGTAAATGACCTCTTTATTAAACAAAAAAACTGCGTAAGAATACTAGCAAATATATCAAGAACAGAGAGCTGTGAACCATTCTTTAGAAAATACAAAATCTTAACCCTAACATCAATTTACATTTTGGAAGTTTGCAAATTTATAAAAAAGTACCCACAATTTTACACTAAACTGCGAGACGAACCAAGACACCATCCCACAAGATACGGAAATAATCTTGTAACACCGTTCTCAAAATTGGAAATGCATAGATCGAGCCCATAATCAATGTCGATAAAAATATACAACAAACTACCGGAGCATATAAAGCAAGAAAATAAAACAAGTATTTTCATAAATAACTTAAAAAACATTCTTTCTAATAAAACTTACTATACAGTGCAACAATATCTTGATGATAAATTGCTATAGCGTTGATCTGCCTCATTCCTATTTTGCTGTCCATTATTATCATATCCATATTACAGGATTCATATGTCTTTCATTGTACCTATGTGAATAAATAAATAAAATGAAGTAGATAAAATGTTATATAATGGAGTAAATGCAATTTTATTATGGTCGAATTAAAACTAGTATAACACATAATTGTACAATTAATAATATGTTTATATATATGATAAGAAATATTAGGGGTTAAAGTATGAAATTGCCGTTTTATTGCAATAGGTTCTTTGAATTTTCATAGAATCTTCATGGTTTGAGGTTTTCGAATGAAACTTTTTTCAAATGGTTTCTGTGATTTTCTTTTTTTTTTAAATTTGAAACATTTGAATATCGACTTTCAATTGTTTTTGTTATTCAATTTAGACAAGAAAGATGGATACTGCGAAAATTTGAGTGATTTTTGAATACGAGTTCCGACGCGGAACTAACGTGGCAGAAACAGCCCGCAATATCAATGCTGCGTTTGGAGAGGGGTCTACCTAATGAACGCACCGTGCGATTTTGGTTTAAACGCTTTCGTGATGGAAATTTCGACTTAAAGAACGAGGCACGAGGAAGACCCACAGCCCACACAGGTGAATAACGATGAATTAAGAGAGATAGTGGAAGCCGATCCTAGTCAAACTACCCAGGAATTAGCGGTATGGTTTAACGTTACCTTACCCACAATATTAACTCACTTGCGTCAAATCAATAAAATAAAAAAATACGAAAAATGGGTGCCTCATGATTTGACTGATCTGCAGAAAGAAACGCGTGTTGAAACTTGTGTTGCCTTGTTGAACCGGTACAGAAATGAAGGAATATTGGATCGAATTGTAACATGTGATGAAAAGTGGATTCTTTATGATAACCGGAAAAGAAAAATGCAATGGCTGACCCCAGGTCAAATGCCACAACAGTGTCCTAAAGCAAAACTTACCAATAAAAAGGTAATTGTAACTGTTTGGTGGTCTCAGCATGGTGTTATTCACTATAGTTTTCTCCGATCTGATCAAGCAATAACGGCAGATGTCTATTGTGCCGAACTCCGAACCATGTTGACAAATCTAGCAGTAAAACAGCCCCGACTCATGAATCGATCTTCACCATTATTGCTCCACGACAACGCGAGACCTCACACAGCACGAGAAACCATTTTGACCCTTCAGGAACTGCAGTTAGAAACCATTCGTCATCCTCCGTATTCACCAGACCTTGCTCCAACGGACTACCATTTTTTTCGTGATTTGGACAATTATCTACGTGACAAGAAGTTTTCTTCCCAGGAGGCAGTACAAAATGCTTTCGCACAGTTTGTGCAGTCTAGATCGTCGGAGTTCTATCGCATAGGCATTAATAACCTTCCCATTAGATGGCAGCAATGTATAGATAATAATGGCAACTATTTTGATTAAATAAATTTGTTAAAAATTTAAAAAATAAACAATTTAGATTTTCAGTACAAATCGGCAATTTCATACTTTAACCCCTATTATATTTTTCTCAAGCCTATAAATATATTCCCAAAATATGTCTTTTAAGTAAATGTATAGAACGAAGTTCGGAAAACTGACGACGCCTGTTGAAGTTATAAAAAAAATATTAAAATGATGAAAAGGTTACTTGTGGACGTCACATTTGACGTATTTTCATTATAATACGTAGAATTATCATTATAATCGATGATCAATATCATTGACTTACAAATAAATGGACGACGGGTCTAATACAAAAGCCACGAAAAAAATGTCCCAAGTCAACCTATTCGAAATTTAAATTGTTATGTCATCGCGGTATCGCGCTGTCCGTAGAACAAATGAAGACTAAAGCGGAGTGTCGCGCTCTGTATACGATTTTAGCGCCTTACAAGTGCGGACACTTTTTAGCGCGGACCCGACGTCCATATAATTGTAAGTCAATGATCAATATGGTTTATTACGCGAAAAAATGTTAATTTATTTTCAGCATCATCATTTACAGCCTGACTTCACTCACTGCTGGGTATAGGCCTCCAAGTTTCTGGAGGTTCAGGTTCGTCCCGCAATTTTTGCGATGCCGTCTGCTCATCTCACCATTGGACGCCCGACGTTCCTGTATCCAGTCTTTGGACGTCACTCAGTTATCGCCTTACTCAATCTGTCATCTATCTTGTCACCGTATGCACCGTGCTCTGCCCAGCTCCACTAATTAGCTTCGTGATGCGATTCACCACCACGATATTTTCATGTATCGATATTTTTTATCAAGCCTACTTTATGTCAGATACATACTTGCTTTTTTATATTTTACGATTTTGAGGTTAGTGCATTAGTGCTCAAGGTTGGAATATCTGTTTTGTGGTTGGAATTTAATGAAGTCTTTCTGTTGATTTTACTATTTACATTTTGAATTAAATTAAAAGCAATGTCCGATTGCGAAACTTTAAATATAAAATTTCGAGTTTTGGACTTGTTCAGTGAACTTGACGAGTCTGAGTTGGATGAAGTTGAAAAATGGATTTCTAGTCAATCTTATAAGAAAGGTAAAAGTTTAAGTAGGTAGCAGTAATCCTTGTGAAAGAGTTAGTCCAGAGAAGTACTGCCACCGTACCTATTTCTGTCGCCAAGCAGTAATATCAGCATTACTGTGTTCCGGTTTTGAAGGGTTAAGGGTGCTGGTGGAATTACCGGCAGCCGCAGTGACAGCCGCAGTGGCAGTGCCCCTCAGATCTTTGCGATTTAAAGCTTTTAGTGGCACTACACCTGTTATGGACGACCACATAGCTTACCATCAAACGCACGACTTGTTCGTCCCATTATTTGATATTATAAAAAAAACTACCTTAGACTTTCATGATTTGTACTTATTCAAATTGAACCTATTTTATCAGATCTAAATCGTCAGCCAGCTGTGACCAACCTGTAAAGACCTGTAAAGAATTTGAAAGAAATGCATATATACATTTAGACCCAAAAGTTTCTTTTCCAAAAATATAACTATGCCCATAATAATTATGACTTTTTGTTTCCCCGGAATAAAAAAATCTGAACTCAGCTCTCTAGTTGATTGGTAGAGAATACTTATTAATATGCATCAGCCATTTGTACTATTTTGTATGCATTAATATTTAAATAAATAAATAAAATTATAATACCAGCTAATATTATCTGAAAGCTTTCAAATGTTATATAAATTTCTTATACAGACTTAGAAAAGAAGAAAGCCCTTCGCAATTCAGAAAGGACACTGATTAAAATTGGGAATGCTATAAAAAAGATAATTCCATTTGAGGCAGAGATGGACTCTGAAACAATCATACCACCAACTGTAGGTGACCAAGCAGATTGTAACTCAGTCAACACTTGTCATGTAGATGCTTTCCTGTATGATGAAGAAGAGGTTGAAAATCTAGTAAAAGAAGGAAAATTAAAACGATTTTACTGTCTGGATTGCCACTCACGCAACATTAAGGTGATGCATGTTATTTTCTTTTTTAACAAATTAATATGAATAATATAATTAAGTTTGCCTTTGTAACATTCTTCAGTTGATGCTGCTCTTGTGGTTTATGAATTACATGTATTTTATTATTGATTTTATATTGTACCATACAATGTAACTACATAATATGTAGTTATTATGATGTCATATCAATTATTTTCATATTTCACAAGATATTTTTACATTATTGATATATATTTTAGTTGTCTAAAATGAATTTAACAGCAAAACGGTTCAAGATTACAAAATTGGACCATTTGGTAATCTTGAACCCTTTTTTAGTTTAGTTGTAATTTCCAGGACTTGACTTACATATCTCACTCAATGTCGAGAGAATCACTCCAGTCATGGGGTCCCAACTCATACAAAATATTTTTAGTACAAAAAAATAATCATAGATGCCGCCATGGATAGCCTGTTGGATATTAAGTAAGCGAAATTGGCAATTTAAGCCGTAGTTACGTAATTACAAGTAAAAACTAAAATATTTCATGATAAAAATGAATATTTTCTCTCAATCAACACATTTTTTAAAAGAAAAATACACAACTAATAGACTTTAACACAGCTATTGTTTATCAAGTCAACGCCATCTATGGCCCATACGCGCCGTCAGCTCTATTGATTTAGCTAATGGATTGTCATTTAGCTAATGCATTGTCATTTTATTTTGACCTGGTCACGCTAGATGGCCCTGATATTAAAAAAACATAATAAACTACCTTCGCGTTTTGTTCCTCTATTTTGAAACGTTTCTACAGTTTATTTATTTCTTAATTTTGTTTTATTTATTTTTTATTTAAAAATTGTTAAATTAAATATCTAACAATATGAATGGTTTTAGTACTTAAAAACGTTTTTGATTATTTAATGATTTATTATTTTAAAACGTTGATTTTTTTATTGAATTGAACAAAACGCGCAATCGGTTGTTTACTTGTTTGTTTGTTTTGGAAGCGAAATTTTGCGAATTGACACGGATATTTTAAATGCTATTAATTAAATACGACTAGTGCTTGAAATCTGGACTCCGACGAATCTCCCATACACTACGACTTTGCTTTGAAATCTGGACTCTGACGAATCTACCATACACGACGACTTGGCTACGGAAAACTTTACTGATCTCGGTTGCAACATCATCTGGGTTTCGTTGATTTTCGATTTAAACAAAACAAAATGTCACCGGTCAAATGTTCGTATTTTATGTGCAATTACACATTCAAACAAAGATCCATGTTTCGGTTCCCAATAAGCGATCCAGCCCGTTTAAAAGTTTGGATAAATAATTGCGGTAAGTCTTTCTATATCATGTACCAGCTAAATATGTAATTGAAAAAAGTGTTGAAAAGCAGGTTTCAATGTAGGTTTTCAGATTTATTTCATTTTATTATTTCATTATAATGAATTAATTTTTGTTTTAGGTAACATGACCATAATGAATTACAATGAAAATATACTCCGTAACAGATACCTCTGTAGTGAGCATTTCGACAAAAAATATATCCAAAATGAAAGTGGACAAAGAAAGAGGCTGTCGAAATTTGCAATACCTTTGCACTTATAACTTATAAAGATGATGAATGTAGCAGCAGGTCACATTCACCAGTTCCATCAACATCAAAAGGTAAACCTTTTGGTTTCAGTACCAACACTGTATTACTTGAGTGAACATGATGATGATGAATTACTTGAGAAAAAAAAATTCATAATAAAGTTATATGTATTCTTATACATAAATAATTTGTATTCTACTTCACTTGAAACTTCAATAATAAATGATGTTACATGGGATGGAAATCATTCCATCATCAGCGCATAACTTGATGATCATCATCGCATCAGCGCATAACTTGAATTTTAGCAAAGCCTTCTTCTGCTGTTACTATCAAAAGTAAAATGAACATATTAATTTGATAATGAACCATTTTTAATATATTGTTTTTTTTAATATAAATATGTAAGTGCGTATTTGACCTCTATCTCACCTGATGGCAAGTGCATGCACACCTAAATAATGCCTATTCACTCTCGCCTTGAAAAGGCACAAGTTATAATGTTCAGGGTACAAGTTTCTGGGAAGGGTATTCCACTCCATAGCCATTCGCTATATAAATGTGGAATCGTAACGCTTTGTGTCAATCTTTGGAATATCCACAACATATGGGTGGAACCTAAGCCTATGTCTAGTCCCCCGTGATGGAAAGGGAAAAATTAAATTGTGCCATTCCATTGCACACTCTCCATAGTATCTGCTAAAGTTTTCATATTCATAAAATTTTAACTTATATTAAAATTTATACTTTATTTAGGCATTGTTATTATTCCGAGACTAGTGGGTTAAGTTAGTGAGTAAATGTGTTTGATTTATTTTTTTGTTTTAGTGCAAACTTCGTCACCTCTGAAAGTAATGACTCCTAAAAAGTTATATAGCAACAAAATGGTAAAAGAAAGGCTTCAACCCAAGTCACCTAGTGAAACCACAGTAGATTTTAGTACACCTAGAAGAAGAAAAAGGACTTCAGTTGATAATGATACACCAAGGTGTAAAAAATTAAAAATTAGTATAAAAAATTCAAGTAAATTATTAAAAAAACAAAAAAATAAATATAATAGGCTAAAAAAGAATTTACTGAAAAAAAATTGTGTCAACTTAAAAACACATAAATTTAAAGGAGATTTGGCGAAAGTGTTTACATGCATGCAATTTAAAAATAAAAGTAGACAATGGAATGAAGATGAAAAAAATTTTTGCTTATCTTTATATTATAAGTCTCCAGCTACATATAAATATCTTTTAAAAGGAGGCCTGGTCCTAGCTGCTCCCACTACAATCCAAAATTGGCTCCAAGCTACAGATTGTCTGGCAGGTATTAATGAAGATGTTTTTCGTAATATTCAAATGAAATTTGCTGATCAACCAATTAAAGAAAAAGCCTGTGCTGTATGTTTTGATGAAATGAGTATCAAGACTGATTTGGAATATACAAAAAAATATGATTTGATTGAAGGATTTGAAGATTTTGGTGGTGGTGAGCGTTCCTCCAAGGAAGCTAAGTATGCACTGGTGTTTGTTGCCAGAGGGATTTACATTAATTGGAAAATCCCTCTGGTATATTTCTTATCAAATCAGAATGTCATTGCTGAAAAGTTAATAATAATTATTAAATCCATAATTAATAAATTATTTGTGATTGGATTATTGCCAAAAGTAATTATATGTGATCAAGCAACAACCAATGTCAAGGCAATCAAATCCTTGGGGGCAACAAAAGATGATCCTTTTTTTTTATTGAGAATCGCAAAATATTTTCGATCTATGATGTTCCTCATTTGATTAAAAATATAAGAAACAATTTACTTGATAATAATTACGATTTAAATGGCAATGAAATTTCGTTTGATGATATAATCAAGGTTTATAATATTGATAAAAGTAATAAAAGTCGATCTTTGGGAAAATTGACCCCAGTACACTTGAAGCCAAACAGTTTCCAAAAAATGAAGGTTAAGTTAGCCACACAAGTATTTAGTCGATCAGTAGCGGCCGCGATGGAGACGGCGATAGCCAGTGGAGAGCTGAAGAGTGACACCGTAAAGAATACAGTTGATTTTGTGAGAAATGTGAATGATTTGTTTGATTCATTAAATTCAAAATGTAAATTTGATAGAAATCCATTTAAATGCGCAATCACTGAAAACAAAGATTCTTTAGTTCATAAAACGTTAAGTAAAGGAAACGAAATGTTCAATCAATTGAAAAAAGTTACGATTTCCAAAAAAAATGAGAAAAAATTGACAATTCCTCCCTGATTTGAAGGCATACAGCAATCAATTAACGCTGTACTTCAGCTCGCCACTGAGGAATTTTCACAAGGCACTGAAGTCAAATTTCTTATGACAAATCGATTAAATCAAGATGTAATTGAAAATTTGTTTGGAATTTATAGAATGCGAGGTGGTTGTAACAGGAATTCAACATCAAAAAATTTAAGGTCCATGTTCCGATCAAATTTACTAAATAATTTAATCAAATTAGATAATACAAATTGTGAAATTGATCAAAGTCACTTTTTAAACACAGCTGAAGCTCAACAGCAAAATACACAACCTGAAATGTCATCATCGTCGACATTGACACACCCAATTGCTGGTCCATCAAGTGCAGTCGCCTTGCCCGTTATTTCCTCCCCACCGGTTCAATCGTACACATCTCAAGGTAATCTAACCGTTATACCCCAAGAAATAACACTGGAAACTTGTTCTGTTGTGTATTTTGCTGGCTGGCTAGGCAAAGTGACAATAGATAAATTTGATTGCTCAATGTGTAAAGGAATTTTGATTAATAATGAAGTTGATTTGGCTGATAAGAAGCAATTGTTGTTGATTAATAAAACATATTCAAATTTGACAACACCAACACTTAAAGCCCCAACTGATTTTTTGTACTGCTTAGCAAATGAAATGCTTGATTTATTTAATAACAGCATCAATATGATCCACAAAACTGATTTGGTGGCAAATTTAATGAAAAGTGCTAAGTGCATTATAAACCTCCCAGATGATTACCATGATTACACTCATATTGATTTTTTAATAACCAAATTATTTGTAGTTAAAATTCACGATTATTGTAAATCAAGAAATAAATCATTTCAAGGACGAGCCAAATTAAGAATTCTCCAACATAAATAAGGAATTCAATGATGAATTGTTGAGCCCCGCATTCGGGAACATTTAAAAAAAGGTTTCGCTTATTGATTGTCAACTTGCTGCACTCGGCGATGGTCCTCGAGCCAGTGCGGTGACCAGGCTCTTGAGGTGTGGCATATTATATCTGCATTAGCTAAGCAATGGGGTCCACATATCAATAAATTATCGAAACGGCTTAGCTCTGCAGTGTACGCGATTAAAAAAATACGAAAACTGTCAGACGCCAAAACAGCTAGATTGGTTGAATTCATCTACTTTCACAGTTTAATGACATACCGCATTTTGCTTTGGGGTAATGCTGCCGACATTGACTTACGCCGATATTAATAGAACAGTATTTTTTTTATTCAAAATAGTGACAGACAACATTAACACGAGAAATAAAAATAAACTAGCTATTCTTGACAATTTTCTTTACAAAGTCATAAATTCATTTAAGGGGCAATGTATAAGCTTCAAAGGTTACTTTATTGTACAGCGTCTGCGTACTTGGATGACAAGAACCCGTGGTATGACCCGTTAAGCTCTTGCTGGTAATCTCAATCTAAGATGTTTGAAATAAATATTGTAAATGTTAAAAGTATTCAAATGTATATTAAAAGAGTAGAGTAGAGTTTCTTGCTCATTCTTCTCGGGGGACTCTGCCTTACGAATGAGCAGTAGACTTTAATCAGTACGACGATTTCAAGTGTAATTTGCGTACTTATGAAATAAAGATGATTTGAATTTGTAATGAGAGTGATAATAAAACCGTTGCGCAGTGAACATGTTTTCTTTCAATAAGTCCACAATTCCCACATTTCTCATGGCGATCCAGGAGTATGCACTAATCTTTGTCCACAGACCTGCCATTTTATGTTTTGACCTCTGGTCTCTTAGCAACTATTCGAAATCAGAGGTCAAAAAATGTTGGCGTCGCAAGCTTATCATACATATCCAGTACCTTGCCATCTGATTACGAAGTTGTTACGAGTCCAGGGGTAAATTGTAATTGTTTGATCACGCTATAGTCACAGACGTAAATTTGAAAATACCGAGACTGGCAGAAGTGCCATGTGATGTCGAGAGTCATTGATAATACCACAGATTTCTTACTGAAATACAGAGTACACATTATGAAAGTGTGAGCGTGCTACAGTTCACTCTAATGTTTTAAAAAGTTAACTAAATAATACAATTGGTACGTACTAAAACATATGAAATTTCTGTTATATAATATATGCCCTAAAATATTATCTTCTTCCTAACTTTAATTTACTGAGATATTTGACTTCAAGAACAAGGGTAAAATATTGTGTCACACACCGTCTAGATAGGTAGTGTACCCAACTGATATCTTTTACATACATTATTTAATAAAAAGCAATAGTTTAGTAAAAACCAGTAACGTGGTTTTATTTCCGTACACAATATGTGACAGAACTTACTATGTGGTTTTACGTAAGTATGTATCTACGTAAATTTTAAAGACGCAACAGGCCTAAGTTTAAATCTATTCATCGAATCAATCTAGCTAGTGATAAATGAAAACGCCATCTAGTTACTATGCAGGGTAATAAGCTTTCTACCTCCTACTTTGACGTCGCATTATAGTCGCCATCTAGTGTACCATAAAAGAATCAAAATAGCTAGCGGAAGCTAAAAACTTAGCATGGACTCATTTTCTTGTATGGGACTGTGTATCTGTATATTCTGTAATCTGTGCTCCAGTATATTTTTAAAGTTCTACTTCCTAAAGATCTAGATGACAAACTGTTGTTAGATATTGGATCTAGGTTGGGAGCAGTGTTGTATGGAGTAAGTATTTCTTTAGTTGTGTAAAAAATATCTTTGGAAAATAGTAACAAAATGCTAATACAACAACTCTGCAATTTTTCTTTTAGTAGACAACTCATTAATTCACTTAAAACAGTAACTGTTTGTGAAGAGGAGCTATGTACCTTTCTTAATAGTAATAATTACTCTCTAATATGATATGTGTAACAGCAAGTGATCACATTTAATCCAAACTAGCTAGAGCTTTAAAATGGGTGCAAGTTTGACATATTAATCTGATATTGTAAATAAATTTTTATTTTATTTTCCAGGCATATTATCTCTCAAATGCATCAAATATTATAGGAATTGAACTCAGTAAGGACTTCTGCAAAGTTCAAGAAAGAATGTTTGATGCATTTTCAATGGACACAAATAGAATAAAAGTAATACACTCTGATGCAATGGAAAGACATGATATTATTGAAAACTCTGATATTATAGTAATAAATGTTCTAGATTTCTTTGTAGACATAGAAAAACATAAAGAAATGTGGTATTTCTTCAAAAAGTACATAAAGAAAGGTAGTTATCTTGTATGTAATAGAAGTATGGCAGACACACTCAGCAGTTTAGACATTTTTGAAGAGTTTATGAATTGGCTAAGCATTTGCAAACCGAGTCAATTAGAAAATGAGGTACTGTTTGATATAGAAGATAGTAACGAACTGTATTTATACACTGTAAATTAATATTATCTATGTTAAGATAACTTTTGTAATTCATAAAAATATGAAATAAAACTAATTTGCAATATTTATAGTTGGTAATATTTAATGTATATCTGACTTATAGTAAGCGCTATTATTCTAAGGCATCTGTAAGGTTTGAAAATCGCGCCAAATTCAATAGGGTTGCCAATTATTAGCGACTAAGAGGCGGTACTCCACGCAGTCAACGCGAAGGCAGAGAACATTAAAATCATGTATATAAAATATAATTAAAATCATGTATATAAAATATACATGATTTTAATATTCTCTGCCTTTAATAAATACAATTGTATTTATTTGTTGCTGGTCAGCGAAGCTTATTTCCAACCCCCTAATAAATGGTAACAACAACTTTTAGGATGCCAAGGCAAGGAAACTCCAGGGGTGGTCAGCTTTCTAAGCGGCCAATGCCAACAATGGCAGGATTTGCAAAAAAAGAATAGTGCTCTGCGAAAGAATGAGATAGTCGGATTCATAAATTTACGAGCACGATTAAATAGTTATCTACCATTTTGGTACATTTTATTACTTGACGAATACAGTTTTTTTTCAATTATTTGTATCATAGAAACCATGGTGTTCTAATATGAACACTATGATTTCTGTAATATTGTCTTTGTTGAAGATTCTAATTTTCACCTAATTTTAGACAAATGAACCTTATGTTGACAATTATCACAACCAAAGGAGACTGATACGATTTCATACAATCTTGGGCCCAGATTGTAAAAGGATGAGAGTGGTGTCACTTAATAACTTATAAATTGTCAAGCAATCACTTAAAATTCTACGGATTTTGTTATCTGAGAACAGAGTTATAAGAGATTTAGTGAAAGTGAGGTTAAGTAAAAAGTAGTACCTACTTAACAGCTGTTTTTTGAAGTGCGATTGTTATATTTATTATATTTTTGTAGGCGGGGATTATGCGAGAAAATTCAAAAATGAGGAGGAAAGGATATGAGGGTTAAAAATAAAACATTATTTATTTTTTCAATCATCTTCTATTATAATTAAAACATCGTCTAGGAATTGTGCAGGTGGTACTACGTTATTTTGGTACCTAGCCCAACTAAGGTACCATATAATTGTCATTACATGAGCGCAGCAGCCTACAGTCCGTTTGCCTACGATGCAATTGCAGTAATATTTGAGAATTGCATCCCTACCTCTGCGAGAGCTGTCGGCCAAAATATAATTAAAATAAGTTTTTCGACTTATATGTCTGGACTTAATGCGTCCTCTAAGCAACCATGCAGTACTTGACGCCGACAGATCTCGAACTAGGCTGCTGCTGACCTCCCGGCACACTTCTATAACAAAGCCATCATTACCCCTTACATGTTCACCATAGTAGGAACGTGCCTGCTTTATTTGATACGTGCCTAATGAAATTAATATTAGTTCACTAACGGTGAGCTGGGGAAAATCATTCAGATTATCATTTTGTACATTGATTAATTCAAAATTAGCCCTACATCTATTATAGTTGTTTCTTATAACAAATTCAGCCAAATCATTTTCTGTATTCATGTACATATTGATTTGATCTATTATTTCCCCAGCATCTACACGATCAACTATAGGAGGGTGAAAATCGTTTAAAAGGGCAGCGGCCACCTCAAAATCTTTCATGAAACATTTACTTGCTACATTAAAATAATTTTGCCGTAACAACTTATAATCTCTTTTAAATCTGCCATTAACGACCTCCACAACCCAACGGCAGATGGTTACTGCTCTTGATTTATTTGCTTCACTAGTAGAAAGCTGTGTTTCACCCTCCTCTAATGAAGCAGGCACATATGCCCTATATCCACTTTCATGCAACAAGGGTAATGAATCACGGAAGCCCCTATCCAGTATAAAAGCATCGCCCTGAAGAAAGTATTCCCGTAAGGGTCTTTCATTTGAAAATTCTGTTTTCATAATATCAGCATCTGACGTGGTGGCTGGATAGGGGCCCAGAACATCAATTATATGTCCATCTGTACATACCATTAAAAACGGTTTTACAAGGTTCCGATATTTATGCATGCTGTATGTTCTTTTTTGGTATAAATAATTAGAACTTTTTTCCATGTAACAATATGTTCCATCAAATATTATAATAGGCCTAATAATCCCCTCAAAGTTACCAAACAACGCATTAGGTATTGCAAGATTTCTTTGCACCATTTGCTGCCTGTTTAAATGGTTAATACCGAGGTGTTTTGGTACAAAATATTCAGCAAGAAGGTCTCTTATTTGGTGAATCCACTTCTCTAGTGTTCGCCTAGAAACGTTTAATAATGTTGACAACCTCTCATTAGAATCCCCAGTTCTTAGTTTCATTAAATATGCTGCTAAAGCAAGAGATGCTCTGGGTATTCCTAATAACTGAGGAACCTCACTCAATATTTGATGGAACTGGGATTTATTTAAACCAATCCATGTATGGACAACATTGTCTTCCATTTGGTCTATGCTCTCAAAATGAAGTAATCCTGAAGGAACAACTTCCTTTAAGGACATCATGTCCTGAATATGTTTAGCAGTAAAGGTCTGTACATAATTACTTCTCAGACCGTCCAAAAAATCCCATGCTTCAACAACTAAATGTTGATCACACAAACGATTATTTTCAGGGACATAATACTTATGCTCATTGAGCAACATCTTTCGAGTAGACAGTGGAACTCTATACCTCTCTGTTCTCTGGCATCCTTCGATGAAGCATCTACGTTCTGTTTCCGTAGCCCTCATGTATTCTGGCAATACAATGGTAGGTTCAGGTTGGTTATGCCTATCTTCTTCATTTGGTGGCTCAGTGGGAAGATTTTCTGTCTGTGGCTGCATTTCTTCCAAGGAGTTTCCATGGGAAGAGGTTGATGGACCTGAAGTCATATGAACAGCTGCTCGGTCTGCAGCCACCCAACACTTGTGACAAATGTGACTTTGTGTTTCCACCTGCAAAAAACATAGGCACATCATTATTTATTTAAAACATCTAAATGTCGCTGTAAAAGTATTTATAAAAAAAGTCAAAGGATTCAACTTACAGGTCGAGGTATAATCCACTCTTGTATAACATTATAAATTCTCAATTCGCGACTTGAGTCAGTACGAAGTTCATGATTGATTTGTGACGCAAGAGAACGTCCGCAGCGGAGACAAACTCTTCTGTGGCCAAGGTGTCTGGATTCATCAACATTTGGCCTTTGGGCCAAGTTCCAGCAAGCTTGGCAAACATGGTCACTGCTGTGTACCTAAAAGATAGGAAAACTTTTATATGTCAACAAATCATTACTACTATCAGTTTAGAATTTGTAGTATAATGTAAACATTCTTCATATTGTGCCTTTTAAACGTTTAAATATCCGTCATTTATTAATGTAAGTAACTATGATGAAAATCATCGTAAGGAAACGTTTAGGGAGGTAGGCTAGACGCTGACTAGCTAACAATCAGGAGATGAGTAGGTACTTACAAGCTGTGGTGCAAGCCATTGACGAATCACTGACAGTATCACTTCATCATCCAAGGTTCGTCGGCCCAGTGCGTTACTGCGACTGGTCGCTATGCCACAATTTACACAACGATCCATGGCGTCAATATCCAATCGATAAGCCAGCAGTAAAATCCAAAATAACGAGTCCAAGTTAAACGTGTAGGTGAGATTCTTCGTGTCCGGTATGATTGCAAGGGTAGTACAAGTTAAGCGAGATCAGAAGTCCGTAGAAACAAAACAGGGGTCAATAAATGTAAATAAAAACAATAGGAAATGCACTTGAAACGCACACGCAATCAACGATACGAAGCGAGTGACAGACAGTGACAGTAGAAATAGTCACCACAGGCTAAAAATGCGGTATCGATAAAAACATAACAATCGATTTGTGAACGAGATCCGATATCGAGTTTCGTTTTTAATACACAGCTAGATTACGTTGTAGTGTTTGAAACTTTTGATTTCTCACGGATTTAATTATTTTAATGGTTTAGACATGGTGACGGCGTTTTTCGACTATTGATTGTTAAAACTCATTCACATTTATCGATTAATTTAAATCGATTTTATTATGTGCTCCAGACATTTAGTTATTTTTTAGATATCTCAGTTTCTAGATAGCGAATTAGGTTGATTTTTTAGATTTTGCAATAGAAAAATATAACAAATTTTTAAAACCATATTTCATCTTATTACATTTGGGCCCAGAATGCCCCGTCTCCTTTTGGTAGAACTTATGTTTCTGCGTGATGGCAACTTCTTCACAGTTGTCAGAGTTTTCAAATCAAGATGGCTACCATGAAAACTTGTGTGAGAAATTCTTTTTCATAAACTACTAATACCAGTTCTTTTCTCTGCATTTAGCAGCAGTTTTTGTGTATTTGCCGGTTTGTTATCGATTTTCTGAATTGCGAGATAGAGACTCGTGTGCGAAATTGACGCTTTTTGTTTTGTGAATTCGATAATTACGAGAGAAAGACTTCTGTGCGAAATTGACGCTTTTTGTGTTGTGAAACCTTACATTACGAGATAGAGACTCATTCTTTTTATCAAGCCGTTTGGTGTGCTGGCCTCTATGATAGTTATTTATGACGGTGTGATTACACCTTTAATTATATTAAATCTACCTTAATCTTTCTGTCTTATGAGTGTATTGTGTTCCACATTTTTAATAAATATTATGGTTTCAAAATGGGCTACATATGTACCCCGCGCGAACATTGCTGGAGTATTCTTAGGCGCGTGTAAAAACAAAAATAACAACCGTTCATTTCTTGGTAATATCTGTATCAATTAATTGTTTCATTGGTTTCATAATCTTCTATTGCAGGAGTCGCTAAATGGATTCACATAGAAGAATTCTTTAATATAGACAAAAAGAACTTCGTTTTTGCTCCAGCATTGACCCAGCAACACCTTCAGCCGAAGGGCAAACAAAAGATGAAAGTTCGACTAGCTGCTCAAGTTTTGAGTCATTCCATTGCAGCAGGATTATTTGCCAAAGTAGCCCAAAGTAAGTTTCAACATAATATGTCTATTATGTACTGCCATCTTTCAAGCCTCTTTTCCCGACTGTCAAGACTTATAAAGAGGATCATGTTTTTCTCACGAGCTTGTGAATATGACTCATATCCATTTTTTTTATGTTGCTTTATAGAGACTAAACAAGTAAACTGATTTTGACAAAAGACTATTAGGCATTTGATTGGTCGTAACAACGGTTTGTTCTTGTGTTACTACCAATATTAACGTTTTGTTGTGGAAAATTACAAAAATGCCAAACGGCGCCACTAATACCCATACTCATTTAAATATAATAAGTCTAGAGTGTCATGTCATGTTAGATGAAATTCCTTTTAACATAAAAAGTTTATTGTTTACTTTTAGACGAATTGCCACAAGACGCCGTGTGGACCGCGACGCTTATATCCAATATGGACAAATTATTTGACGCCATGAATGGTGACACGCCGGACAGAAAAAGGGGAAAAAAATACCTAACCAACATGTCCTCAACCAGCCCTCATTTAGATTTTTTGATAGAACCCCAATTCAGTTCAATTTATTGCAGCATTAAAAACTAGCATAATAACAAATTTAATTAATAATAATAAAAACAGAAACTGCCTGGATGACAATAATGATATATTGGATAATCTTAAAGTGTTTCTTCATAAAGGTTGTAACCAAAAAATAAATGACGTAGACGGTTCTACACCTTTTCCAGCGGAAATTTCTGTTGAAGGTGTAGAAGAGTTAGATGTACCTCAGATTTCTGGAGAAATGCAAGCATGTGCATATGTGTGCGGCTTTATCGCAAGAAACATAACTATTAATTGCGAGCAATGTAAAAAAATTATGCTTGCTGATCTGAACACTGAGGTATGTCATTTATTTACATCATTTAAGGAATACGATGACGTAGCATGCAGTTTAAAATACATCCAGCCCAGTTTCTGTGAAATGGTTGAAAATGCTGCAAGATTAATAAACAATTATTTAAAAGAAAATTCACATAATGAAAAAATTAAATATAATTTATTAAAAAAATGCGATAATTTAAATAAAGATTGGCTGAAGGGGTGTGACGAACATTGTGAAATAAATTTTAAAAGAATAATTGATAGTACAGTTGTAATATGTCTGAAACGGTTTTGTACTGTCAAAAATCGAGAATTTGTTGAGGAAGCCTCAAAAAAATCGATGTTAAGAAAAATTAATATACTAAAACATGTTTAAAAAGGTTGTATTATTTCACATTACTTAAAAATTCCTGACATGAAGAATTTTCGTTTGATGTTTTTGTACAATATTATTTAATTTTTTATAATTGTGGCGAAACAGGACACGAAAATTCTATAACTTGATCGATACCGAAAATTGCAATTGTATGCGTAATTGACAATTATTTAAATGGTACATTCAACATTTACATTTAATTTACAAATGTACTCATTTAAATAATTGTCAATTACGCATACAATTGCAATTTTCGGTATCGAAATATAAAAACACATGAAAACACTATTCAAATCTCCCGCGTTTTCAAAAGTTACCGATGGCACGAACGGTGGCGTTTCAAGTAAGCATTTTTATTGTATGAAGCTATCGTTCTTCCCTTTAGGGTAATATTGTTCTGTGGGAAACTCTCACAACATGATAGACAGGTTTGATGTCCGAGCACATCTAGACTACATTCCTGAAGTAAAAACCCGTATGTTCCACCTGTAAATCATGTATATAAAATATACATGATTGTAATGTTCTCTGCTCGCTCTAGAGTTTCACCTCGGAACATCGCGATGCATTTCTTTCAGTGTCTCAGAGTATTAAAATGTATACCTTATTTAAATTGTAATAGCATAAAATATCATCATCATCAACTCATTACAAGTACCGCTGCTGGGCACGGGCCTCCTCTCATACGAGGGTTTAAGATAGTACGCCACTCCGGCCCAATACGAGTTAGGGACTTCACACTTTTTCCGAAAGTTGTGTACTTTCTTCGACGTGCTGGTTTCATCACGATGTTTTCCTTCACCTAAAAGTTTAAGTACGTTTCAAATAAAATTTCACACAAATTCCGAAAAACTCAAATTTGAGGTGCATGGATTTGAACCCACGGCTTCTGCTTGTGACTGTGAGGCGTTAGGTCAAACTATTAGGCTACCACAACTGTGTGTAAAATATACATAGTTATGGCGCCCTAGACATTTAACGTCTCCACTACTGTTGTGGTATGAAAGTATGTAACTAAAGGATTTATAATAAATGCCTACTAAAAAATGGTATCGATTTTATTCATAGATTTTACTAAATCTAGGCAAGATCATAAAATTATTATTTTTTAATAATAAGTAATTTTTTATACGTGTAACATTGCTTACAAAAAAAATTCAAACATGGCGTTCAAAGAGGGAGGAGTGAAAAGATTATAATCGTTAAATGGCGTCCTTTTTGCTGATTGTTCAACGTTTAGTAGATTGGCAAAGTTTGATATTTGTGTTATTCATTTAATTTTTTTTGTGTGTGTTTGTTAAATAAAGCAATTGAAAATGTGGCACGAAGCACGGAAGCAAGAACGTATGATTAGGGGTTTGATTGTTGATTATCGTCGCAGAGCAGAGCGCCGCAAGGATTTCTATGAAAAAATTGTAAGCTTCTGTTTTAATTTCGTTAATATTATATATAACTTGGTGTTTTTATTATATTTCTGTTTTATCCGAATGCGTTAATTGCAGAAAGCGGAGCCTACGCAATTTTTGCAACTGCATGGTCGACCTTGTAAAATACATTTGGATCCAGCAGTAGCGGCCGCTGGAGAAGGCCCGGCGATTATGTTCGTATTAAAATAGCTTCCAATCGTAGTCTAATAATAGAGGAATAAAAAAATATTATTGTGTAATTGATACGTACGTCAAGATTTAATGACGGTACCCGTTTACCTACGTATAGTCACTCTGTTAATAGTTGTAATATAATTTAAATATAAAAGATATTGTACAAATACAACTACAGTACAATGATAGGGGGACAGCTACACATGTGTTGAGAACCTTTTTGAAATTATTTTATGATTGTAAATGGTGTCACAATGCTTTATGTGCAATACACAACTGTTAAACCTTTACGGATGCATAATTGACTACCTCCGTGGTCCAGTCGCTTGCACACCTGATTTCATGGTGTCGCCAATTTGAGGTGCCGACTTCAATCCCCGGCTGGGGATTGTATGTAGAACAACTTTTGTATATTGTCTCGGGGTCTAGGTGTTTGTGGTGTTTGTTTCAGATTTCCATAACACTAGTGCTTTAGTTACTTTCTTTGGGATCAGAGCAATGTGATATTGTCTAATATTTAATAATAAAAAAAAATTATTTAAAAGCTTATAACTTTAAATCATCACTAAAAAAAATTCAATATGTCTGCACTAACTTGATCACAAATAGGTTCAACATGATAATTATATTTTTTCTATCATGATGAGTGCAAATTACATTATTAAAGCGCTGCATTTGTATTTATTTGTTGCTGGTCAGCAAAGCTTATTTCCAACCCACTAATAAATGGTAACAACAACTTTTAGGATGCCATGGCAAGGAGACTCTCACAACATGATAGACAGGTTTGATGTCCGAGCACATCTAGACTACATTCCTGAAGTAAAGAACCCGTATGTTCCACCTGAAGAACTAAGTCCTGAAGAGAGACAATGCAACTATGAAAGATACAGAATCCTCGCCCAAAATGTATTTTTGGGAATAAGTAAGCACTTTTCTGTTAATAAACATTACTATGAAAATATCATCTACCGTGTTGACAAATTATCCTACCACCTATCGTAGCTAACATTATGCTAACTTTTCACGGTAGATAGTTTTTCAGTTTGAGGTCATGTCTTGAGCTCTTGTTCATGTCAAACTCAATTAATTGTATTCATGTATATCTAAAAAAGTCAACATAAATTTTAATGTAGACTATTCATTTTCTTTAAAGGCCTGAGTAAAATCATGTCTAACTTAGTTGCAATAAAATGTTAGATATTGCAGTTAATTAATAGAGAGGTGATAAACAAGAATGATAAAAATGTTATTAAACCTTTTACATTATCTGTGAAGAGTAATATGAAAGTGTATATTGCATAATAACTGAATGAACAAATTCTTATACTCTCTTTTAGGTGAAGACAAATTTCTACAACAACTGGCTATAGAAGAACAATTTGGAGTGACTATAGAAGAGAAAGAAGCTCAAAAAGAGAAGTTACATGATCGGAAGGGGACCGGTGCAGCTATAGGCTACAATTATAATGATCCAGGCTCCGTTGTACAGCCTTCCACCTCTAACGGTAGATTCAGCTTTACTATCACTCTGCGTGATGCCTGCAGACTTATTAGGAACAGCGGGTAGTCTTCAATAATCTTTGTTTGGGAAAACTTATGGCATTCAGTGTTAAATTACAGGCCCAGACAAAAAAATGGAACAAAAAGATTCAGATGATGATTCGGATCTTGACATCATTGATGTGGACTTGAGCATTGATGTTAATAAAATGGAAGCATCTCAGGTATGTGTTTGTAAACTGAATTATGCATGATTTAATAATGTTATCTATAATGAAGAAAGCATTATTGTTTAGTAACATACTTGGAATGCCAAAATATATTTCTTTCTGTTTTTAAAGCAAATATTTTCATTTCCAAATGCCCTATACTATGAAGCAGAGTAAATAAAGTTTAAGATTTGATATTTTGTTGCAATGATCTCAGACCCTAAATTAAATTCTACCCATTTAGTACAGTCATTGCTACACATACTGGCACATTTAGAGGAACAAAAAAGTGAGAACATAACATGTTGTAGCAATTATACTAGATTTTGTTCTAAAGCAGAAATGGCTGAAAAATTAGAAATAGTAACTGTTTAGCATACATTGTTTTAAAGTTGAATAAATAAAAGCTCTTTTGAAATACAGTTGACGTTATTTATAAGAACGCAAATTCAATCTCGAACCACTCTACAAACCAACCTGTATTAGTAGGAAATTATTATAAATGAGTGCAAAAAATTACAAATGGTGCAAATGACTAATTCTTAGTTTCAAATTAGACCTAAAATAAAAAAGTTCTGTAACTGGCCAGATTTTTGAAAGCGCACTGTTTTGGAAATTTTACTAGTATTTTGCTAAATATGCTAGTGTTTGTAATTTTCTAGAAATAATTGTTTTTGAAGATAATCTGAATAGTAATGTATCATTATTAAGTGTGAAATAGTCATAAGAAAATATAAGAATTGCGCAGGGTCAAGAGCATGTCTAGCTAGACACTTAAGATTTTAATCCAACTCTATGCCGCGTGCGATAAGAATGGTCCAAAGTACAAGGTGTGAAGCTGGACGTGCTCTTGACTGTACTTTATGAGTTTCATTGGAACAAAATCAAGTTGTTTATTCTCATTAACTACTAGGCACTAGTTCCTCATTCTATCATACTGACAATCATGTGAAGCGTTACAAAACCTATCAACCTACATACCTATCTCGACCTTCCACGTAACGCCGTCACTTTATAACTGATAAATGGAGAACAAATGGAAATCTATGTTATTATTGGTTAGGGTTTAAAGTATGTGAACAAGATGCAATTTTCGTGTCAGACATTTTTTATTAAGCGTCTAGAAGCTTTGACCATTTGCAACTGATACAGTTATTCACTTTAGTTGAGAGCCTATTTCCATGGCAGCATGAGGTGTAGCATTTTTGGGATTTGTTCAGAAATGTTCTATCAGATTTTTATACCATAATCTTTTGTGCCCGTTACCTAACTGGTGCATACTACACATTATACGTATGGACGGAGCGCCATCAGACGAATAATTATTTCCTGTCTGAGAGTAACAAGCCGGTTATTTGATAGGATCTGCCTCCAATGAACACTACGCCATCTTATTTTTTTGGTAATTTTTCTGAACATTAATATGTATTTACTAATATTATGCTACCCAAATTTTGTGAAAAAAAAGAAACAAAGAAACAAAATTGGAAAAAACAAGAAAACTAAATTTCGTGGAAAAGAAATAAGGAAACAAAAAACAAAATAACGTCCAAAAATTAAGTTGGCGTAGTCTTCATTGGAGGTATCAAGATGGAACCAGAAATTCAGAAGGTGCAAATTCAAACATACTGCAAACGAATTAGATTTCATTATTTTCACTAACTGGAATAAATAGATTTAAATTCCTATTCGGTGTACCAACACATTTCTTTTTGTAATTTTGGTGAATTAAGTTTCTTCGATCTTGAAATGTATTTTACAAGCGTAATGTTAACTTGTATTGGACTGAGCACAGGCACACGAGCTGAATGCCGTGGGGCCGCAGTTCGGCATGGCTGGCTGCGATCTCTTTTCATTCCTGACGGGTGACGCTGATGACGCGGAACACCAGAAACAACTGTTGAGAGAGGAAAAGGAAAAAGCGATGTTTTCTGGCAGAAAGAGTAGGAGGGAACGCCGTGCCCATCGGTAAGTTATTCAACTTATTTAATTACTTTTTTCTAACTTTGCTACAATATCCACCTTTTTTGAAGTACCGTCATCAAGTACATATACACAGGGCTGGGCAAAATACATGCTACATCTTAATTGAAATACAAATTACAAAATACTTCCTTAAATGTATTTAAAATACAAAATACCAAATACTTTCTTGAGGTGTATTTGAAATACAAAATACAAAATACTTTCATGGGGTGTATTTAAAATACAAAATACAAATACAAATTACAAAATACTTTATTAGTATACTTATCGCGACATGTGGAAACCAACAATTTCCTTCAAAGGATTTCCTTCCACAATACATATCTTGAAAAAGAAGTTTTAAATATTCAGTTTTACCAGAAAAAAACTGTTAAACCAATACCACCATACTTCAGAGCACGAAGTACGTATAATTATTATTAATATTCCTATACATGTCGAATACTGTATATACGTGTAAATGCCATTCATAACATGTTCACAACACAAATTAGTCGCTCACGCGATACGTTATCCCTATCTACTGGGCCTATAAAGGATGCAAATGTGCAATTTAAACCAACCGCAAAATGGCGGCTATAACCCTAGAACCCTGCTACTCTAAGTTATAACCGCGAAAAGATGACTTTGACGTCTTTGACAATACCATGCACTGTTGCCACCTGCAAATGTGCTTCTACTGCATTGAATACGAGTATTTAAGATGTCGTGAGTGTTGTGTGTCGGTGTAGTGGAACCCTAGTGCACAAATAAGTAATGAAGATAAAGTGCGGGTAGTTAGAAAAACTCGCACAACTGGAAGATGCTGACACCCGCCTCTTCAGTCCTTGCGAGACCATGGACGTTGCAATATGTCCGAAAAGTCGAGATAAATAAAATATGTTTATACGTGATTAAGTCCCGAATTAAAAATCAAATAATTTCATACTTCATTTTTTGAACGTTCCGCTTTACACAAACGGACGCACGCACGCAGGCACGCACGCACGCAGGCAAGCACGCACGCACGCACGCACGCACGCACGCACGCACACACACGCACTCACACACACACATATACACATACATACATATAATAGATGCTCTTTGCAAAAAAGTGATTGATCACTTGCATTTACTTCGTCATTTACAACGACTTCAATCTAATTACATATATTTTTTGTATGTAGTTCTTCACATATAATACCACCACGAAGGTTGGGGGCTCAGATAGGGGCTCGATTAGGGGGTCCGGTTGGAGGTCGGTTAGGTGTCGGTAGGGGGTCGGTTAAGGTGTCGGTTTGGGGGTCGGTTAGGTGTCGGTAGGAGGTCGGTTAGGGTCCGGTTGGGGGTCGGTTGGGGACCGGTTAAGTGGTCGGTTGGGGTTCGGTTAGGGGGTCGATTAGGGAACGGATAGGGGTCGGTTAGGGGGCTGGTTGGGGATAGGTAGGGGGTCGGTTAAGGGGTCAGTTAGCGGGTCCACCCCTAAAGGGCCCCTAATCCGCCTCTGACCCACTCCCTAACCAAACCCTTAACCGACCCACTAACCGATCCCCTAACCAGCCCACTAACTGACCCCAACCGGCACCCTAAACGGCCCCCTAACCTACCCCTAACCGACCCCCTAACCGCACCCTAACCTACCCCCTATCTGACCTCCCAACCGACACCCTAAACGACCCCCCAACCGGCCCCCTAACCTACCCCCTAAACGACCCCCGAACCACCCCCAGTCGACCCCTAACCGACTCCCTAACCGACCCCTTAACTAACCTCCTAACCGACCCCCAACTGACCCCTAACCGACCCTCAACCGGCCCCCTAACCGACCCCCTAACACACCCCAAACCCATCCCCTAACCCATATTCGTGATGACACTTTTACTTGATAGTTTCGGTTTTAATTGTTAGTTTCAATTGTTTCTTAGAACAACTAATAAAATTAATCTAATTGCAATTAAAATCAATTCAATCGAAATCAGTTGCAATTGAATAGATTTTTTAATCTGATTGAAATTTAATTGATTAACGAACTTGCTTCGGCAGTACATATACTAAAATTGGAACGATACAGAGAAGATTAGCATGGCCCCTGCGCAAGGATGACACGCAAAATCGTGAAGCGTTCCACATTTTTTTTGAGCCCGGGTCGAACCGCGCGAAATAAACGTAATTATACGTAATCTAAAAAATAAATACAGCTATGGAATAGACGAGATACCATCCGCGCTTATAAGGGTATGTGCAGACGAATTGACGTTTCCGTTTTATACGCTTGTCAATCAGTCTTTTGCCGAGGGTGTGTTCCCGGATCTTCTTAAACAATCCCTGATAAAACCGATCCTCAAAAAAGGAAGTAAGTATGATCTGAGTAATTACAGACCGATTGCATTATTGCCCGCGGCTTCGAAAGTATTTGAGAAGGCAATGTGTAGCCGCCTATACTCTTTCTGTGAAAAGTACAATATATTTGATGAGTCGCAGAATGGTTTTCGGAAAAATCGTTCAACTACACTTGCGACTTACAAATTTATGCAAAAGATTCTGGATACACTAAATGAAAAAAAGTATGGTATCGGTATCCTATTGGACATGTCAAAGGCATACGATAAAGTTCGGTATGATATCTTACTGGATAAACTTTACGGAATGGGTATACGAGGTAACATTCATAAATGGTTCGCATCCTATTTAGAAAACAGAATCCAGTATGTAGAAATCGAGCATTATAACTATGAGACAGGGGAAATAACTCAAGTCAGATCTGAGCCCCAAAACATGAACAATTCGATACCACAAGGAAGCGTCATTGGGTGCATACTATTCCTGGCTTATATAAATGACCTCCCAAACGTACCTAATAAACGATTCATGTGCTCTTTTCGCTGACGACATCTCAATATTAACCTCTTGTAAAAATAGTGACCACTTAAATCAAACCCTTCATAATACACTAACTACAATTGTAACATGGATGAATGATCACAATTTAGAAATTAACTTCACAAAAACCAAAATTATAGAATTTAGACCCTATCAAAAACCATCACTAAATATTAATTTTTCGTATAACCAAATACAAATAGAAACCGTCAATACATTTAATTTACTCGGAATAGATATCGATACAAATATAAATTGGAAGCAGCATGTACAAAAAATCACAAAAAAGCTATCTAGTTTTACTTACGCCTTAAAAGAAATAAAGAAGTCAACAAATTTACAAACTGCCCTAAGTGCTTACTATGCGTACGCTTATGCATGGTTATCATACGGCATCATATTGTGGGGCAATAGTACAACTGTAAATGACCTCTTTATTAAACAAAAAAACTGCGTAAGAATACTAGCAAATATATCAAGAACAGAGAGCTGTGAACCATTCTTTAGAAAATACAAAATCTTAACCCTAACATCAATTTACATTTTGGAAGTTTGCAAATTTATAAAAAAGTACCCACAATTTTACACTAAACTGCGAGACGAACCAAGACACCATCCCACAAGATACGGAAATAATCTTGTAACACCGTTCTCAAAATTGGAAATGCATAGATCGAGCCCATAATCAATGTCGATAAAAATATACAACAAACTACCGGAGCATATAAAGCAAGAAAATAAAACAAGTATTTTCATAAATAACTTAAAAAACATTCTTTCTAATAAAACTTACTATACAGTGCAACAATATCTTGATGATAAATTGCTATAGCGTTGATCTGCCTCATTCCTATTTTGCTGTCCATTATTATCATATCCATATTACAGGATTCATATGTCTTTCATTGTACCTATGTGAATAAATAAATAAAATGAAGTAGATAAAATGTTATATAATGGAGTAAATGCAATTTTATTATGGTCGAATTAAAACTAGTATAACACATAATTGTACAATTAATAATATGTTTATATATATGATAAGAAATATTAGGGGTTAAAGTATGAAATTGCCGTTTTATTGCAATAGGTTCTTTGAATTTTCATAGAATCTTCATGGTTTGAGGTTTTCGAATGAAACTTTTTTCAAATGGTTTCTGTGATTTTCTTTTTTTTTTAAATTTGAAACATTTGAATATCGACTTTCAATTGTTTTTGTTATTCAATTTAGACAAGAAAGATGGATACTGCGAAAATTTGAGTGATTTTTGAATACGAGTTCCGACGCGGAACTAACGTGGCAGAAACAGCCCGCAATATCAATGCTGCGTTTGGAGAGGGGTCTACCTAATGAACGCACCGTGCGATTTTGGTTTAAACGCTTTCGTGATGGAAATTTCGACTTAAAGAACGAGGCACGAGGAAGACCCACAGCCCACACAGGTGAATAACGATGAATTAAGAGAGATAGTGGAAGCCGATCC